ATAACAAGAGGAACTGGAGAACAAGAACAACAATGCAAAGAAGAAGAAAAAGAAAAATAAGAAGGAGAACCCCCACTTTCGACTTGAGTATTAATTGTGTCCGAGTAATCAGTAGTAACTTACCATTTTTGAAGTTTAAAACCGACTGCTATGGCCAACTCGCAAATACTCAATGATTAATTTTTTGCCTATTTAAGAAATTTATAAGCCATYACAATCCAGTTGAATTGATTGGTAAAGATACGGCATCTATATTACAGACGCTTTCATTGGATAAGCTTAATACCACCGGCAATATTGGAGTAACATTAAACTAATGTGCTATCCTACAACCCCTGGAATAAGAGACGACACCGGAAAACGGCTGCGAGGAGTCTATACACCCTTTAAATAAGTACCGAGGTATTGTGTTCTCCGCACTTGACGTCAAATTTGAAATTTTTACAATACAAAAGGAATTCAAAAGAATAAAATCTGACGTCAAGTGCGGAGAACACAATACCTTGACTTATTAAAAGGGTGTATACAACCCCGAGCCCAAAAGCAAGTACATTTTCCTAGGAAACAATCAAAACCGGTAAATGAAATCATGCACGTGCACTACAGGGCCACCTTTTGTGCAAAGATTGATTAGAACTAATGCTTGGTTAACTTGTAAGGTGTAACTGGCTGTGGATTAACCCCACTTAATGTTCCGGGGGGGGGGGGGGGGGGGGGGGCATTGGAAGCTGCAGATCCTTACCCATAACCTCCACACACACAATTCATTTTTTTACATTTTCTTTCTTTTGCTCGTTTTGAAGCTGTGAAGAAAAAAAACAATACTACCAAAATGGCTGCCATTTCATCGAAGTAGATCATTGATATGTGCAGCGACGCCATTTCGTACAGTGAAGCATGATGGGATGCAATCCTTGCTTTTTATATGAATAGGCCATATAATACAACTAACACTGGAAAAAATCGCGCGCCATTAAGGTTGTAAATTTGAGGGAAATATGATGTAAGTGTCCAAAATGATGTAAATTTGATGGAAATGATTTACATCAAATTTACATCATTTTGGACACTTACATCATTTATACATCAAATTTACATCCTTTAAAGCGCGCGATTTTTTCCAGTGTAACCAGAAAACCTCGCGCATTTTCGTTATTACTAAGATTTTTAATCACTTTGAGATTAGTTAAATAATTGGCACAAATTGCATTACAAAAGAGAGTGGGCAAGGCATTCTGGTAATATAGTTGCAGTTGTAATGACGCTATAATACAAATCGCCTATTTAGAATTTGTCAACAGTGTTTCAAAACTTTGGAGAAATTCATATGAGACATTTGACTAACAATCGACCGGCATGGTCACTTCACATGATTGCAAGGAGGTCTGAGTCCAAGCGTCAATAACATGAACGATATCTTTGTTTTTAATGTTTTATTTTAGCAACAAACACAGTGCATTCTCTTTAGAAGAGTGACTGMTTGAACATAATGACCATTTAGTGCAATTCTTTGTACAAGTTCACTAAACAGGTAGTGAATGGAATATTTGAACCTGAGAAAAAAACACAAAGCATCAGTTATCATGATTTATTAGAATACAATTACTTAATAATACAAATACAGCTAAGCAATCTAGGTCTTTTTGGTTGAAACGGTCACCTGGTACTAAATCCGCCATACTGGATAGCAAAATACCCACTGGGATGTTCAAAATAACGAAAAGTAACGTTTAAAGGGCTGTTTACATTCTTTTGCCATCCAGTATGGCTGATTTAGTACCACGTGACCATTTCATGCAAAAGGCCTATTGACAGAGGACGTTTTGATACAGGAGGAAAGGACTCGGCTTTCTCGCGAGCTAGGTGCATAACTGGAAACGCAAGCATGATTCAAACTCAAGAGTGACGCAAATGCAAATATTCACCACTCATATATGTTAGTTTAACCTTAGACTGAGACTGTATCTTACTTGAGYTCTACAATCTCTGGAGACTAGTAGAACTATTGAGACTAATTACATTACAAAGGGTGTAGCTAAGCATTCTGGTCTTGGCGCAGTATGTGACGCCGTCTTACAAAACGCCTATTTTAACAGAAACTGCGGTTTTCATTTCATGACACGTGCAAAGACTTGCTAAAGTGACTAAAAACCATACCATGCAAACGCTGCAACAAGTAATTAATTTCCAACCTCTAAAGTTGTACTTTATGTTATAAAATGTACTTACTTTTGTGTCTACAGTGTGATGCATCTTCAATAATGTGTCTTCGTAAACCCTGACAGAGTTTTAGCTCCTCGCTTGTAGTTGGATTTTCTTTGAAAGCCGTTATTCATGCGTTCTTCAGGGTAATAGTAGCTCTCGTAACCCTCTGGTTCACGTCTTGCTATCTTCTCGATCTCTTCTCGTCGTCCCAGTCTAAAATGGGCATCTACCGCGTGATGTAATACAAGTAGACAAACGATAACAAGAAAGAATTGTTTTGACGCCATTTTGTACCTGGACGATGTAGAAAAACAAGGATTAATATTTTAACAAGATTTCAAAGCTATATTTAATACACCATAAACACAAAGCGTCCTGCTAATAATGCGGTACAGGCGGCCCAACGATTCAACGTCAATCTGTACAACACAAACGTTTAAGTCAAAAAGTACTGCCAATACTGTCATTCTCAAAAAGTCTTATTTCGGAAAATTTGTCATGTGAAATTACCTTAAAGTAAATGGACTGATTTCCCACGTCTTTTTAGTTTATTGTACATTTAGAATTAAGGCAATTCCTTAAAGGTCGAGTGTCAAATTACATACCATTGTCTATTATGTATACAAAAGTCTAAACTCAATTAATTAATATTGATCTTTATGACGTCATTCAAGTGATCTGTCATCAAGGTGATGAAATGGCATCATAGTGATAGCTCACTAAATTATGCTACAACATAAAATCAAGCTTATCTCTAGTTGGGCTAATAAGGGTTTTCCTAGATTTCTAATAGCACTGGTTAACTCGGTACGTTTCGTCGAATCGATCGGACGATTTTTGTATTGTAACTTGGTCGCGGCCAATATTGAACATGGAATAGACCTTTTCTAAGATAGCAGTTTGCATTTCATTTTGTTCTAGATTCGGTACAAACATCTTTTGTTCATGTGACCAAATGTGGAGTTGTTTGTACTGAAGCAAGACCACAATGTACTATGAGTTCAGAAAAGGTCTATGCTTGAGTGCATGCTGGAAGCAGGGACGCTGGAAGCAAGTGCATTCCTGGCTATTCTCCACAGAATAGTTATGTTGAACCGTGTTATTTTTCATTTAGTATATTCTATCCAGCCACCGTGGGCGAGGGACTCGTGCTAAATGCATAAAAAACATAGTTATAGCTCCGGGTTTTTTTCAGAAAGTCATAACAGTATAATATTGTAGATCACTTAGATGACACTTCGGCCATTTGTCGCAGGGGGTAAAAGAAATTATTTGTTGATTCTTCATTTYATGCCCAACTCATCATCCGTCTCTCAAAACATTGCTTTGAGCACTAAGCTGAATGTTAATTGATGTTAAAATTAATATTTAAGACAGTCTTTTTATATTCTCCCACTGTCAAAATGTCCGCCGGCCACTACGGATCGTTGATGAAGTGGTCCATTGAAAACGTAAAGATGTTTTTCAAGATCTATTTTGTCTTTAGTGACATTCTCTTTTTTTGTGGTAATTAGTTGTGATATTTGGAGCAGGTATGATAGTTAATAACTGGAATTTATATCACACACTCATAAATACTCGTTTGTGATTGGTTGGCGACAAMAAATTATTTCAGGTGCAGCCGGTTGTAAGAGATAAAGGGACAAGTGACCCCATCCTATTTCACAATAAGGGCCCATCTCAGTTATACAATCACACAAATTACGATCAGAATTGCAAAAATTAAACTTAAGAATTTAAAACAAAAAACAAAACAAAAAATGACGCGGGATCTACTGTAATTTTTCTCTTGAAATATTTCGATTTGAAGCGATTTGAAGCCTTTAATTCATCCCCTTCTTTCCCTTGGCCAAAACTCGACTGCGATGAATGTTCTCCTACCTCGAATATCCTTGGGTAAATTTGGGAAACATTAAGCTTAGCTTAATTCAGTTAGGAGAACAGAAGGGAGCCATAGTAGTGGCCTAAAAGCTGGCTTACAATCGTTTGCTTTTCGGCGAAAAGAAATATGGAATATAGATAATAAAAACAATTAAAGAGCACATACTATCTTAAATTACTGAGAAAATAATCAAGCAAGATAAGAAATGACTTGATAATTATAAAAGAAAAGAAACGGAGAATGCAAGTAAACAAGAAAAAAGGATAAAAGAAAAAATATCAACGTTTAACGAAATAAAAAACGAAAAAATATAACTAAAAAATAAACTAAGGAATGCTAGAAGGAGAAAATGAAAAATAAACGGACAAATATTGGTTAATAAATGTAAATTAGAAAGTGAAAAAACGAATGGGAATGAAGCGTGGGRAATGAAAATAGCAATAGGAATTGAGGAGATAAAGAAGAACGAGAGGATATAGATTTGGAAAGAGAAAATCACCTCGATGGACGAATGAAAGCAATAATCACAACATGATAAAGGCAAGTTTGGTGAAATTATTTTTGCTAATTGTAAGAAGGTAGTAAGACACAATAAGTGCTCTCGCTTTGACATTACAGTGAAATCTAATTAATGATACAATTCGTGACGTCAAACGTGTTGGCTGCTGAGAATACTTTTCCAATGGACCTTTYGATCTAGGACAATAAGACCCCCAGCGATACTAAAGCCTCTGCTTCACTTAAAAGGTCAAAGACATTTTGGCAAGTTCCAATATGAAAAGCCGATTTTATAATTGCTATTTTTTTACAGAAAAAAAAATATTTCTCAAACCATATATTTATCTGTAAAACTCACATTTAAACTGTTTTTTTTTATAGATAGAGCTTCTATGTCAATATTGCAGTGCTAAAATGCTATAAGCGGCCATTTTGAAAAAATGGTCTTTTCTAAGTATTACCAGGTTCAATATAACATTTGTTGAAATCTATCAATTTGTTGAAAATCTATAGCTATTATAAACTTCATGTATAAAGCAAACTTTGAAATATAAATTGTGAAAAGTCATGTGGTAGAAARAAAAATGTATACAGAACTCGAGAATTCTTAATTTTCACATGTTCACACTATATCGCTTTCTTCACAAGATTAATGGCACTACTAAAAGATTCAAATAACATTTCAACATTTTACTTCTAAAGAACCTAACCATCATTGAATTAAAATATATATGTTATRAATGGCAAAATACAGCACCTTAAATTAAGTGACAAACCTTTTGGAGTATACACTTCAAATAGCAAGCTTTATCTGTTGGTGGGTTTTAACAGTACACCATACCACTGTATGTACGTCTTAAAACAAGGGACCTCAAAACCTCTGACCGTCGAGTACTTAAATATCCTCTTTGTTAGAATTTTTGAATAATTCATGAATAGGTGATACAATTTGACTTGAAACCAGTCAGACTGTCTTTCATCGTAATTCCCAATGATTTGGTCAAATTTTATTCTCAGAACTGTCAAGTTTCGGTTTGGGGAGTTTCTGAGAATGCTAATTATGTAGGCGTTGTATTTTCGTGTCAATTAGGAAACTTATTCTGTTGACTAATTCCGAATCTTTTTGAGTAAGTGTTATTGACTTTTTCGACGCGGTGAAATTAGCCAGATGAAAAAGGTCATTCATGACAAGAAATCTGGAATKTTTTTGAGAAAGAAAAATCATGAAAATTATTGAATGTACATATAACTTCCGACCAACTGCTTGCAAAGGTTACCAACCAGGTGTACAGCATGTAAATTCCGGGGTAAAAACACAGATCTGGAAAACGTTTTGGTGAAATTTTATTCTTTTCAACAGTTCAATATTTTTCTCATTTGTACTTTTCAATTTCTTAAAAAATTTTGGTCCCTGAAGACATAATGTAAACTGAACAATTTGATATCTCTCTGGAGTGYAGTTAGAAAAAAGAGCAATAATAGCCCGGGTTATGAGTTATYTAGGCGGAGTTGATAGATTGTTGATCAGCTAGCGAAAAAAATACTCGTCTAGAAAAATTCTATAATTATCACAGGCGCGCGCACTCATAAACAAGAGGCTTACTACATGAAACAATRGCATGCGAAACAGCTAAATCAAAAACCTCAAACAAGCGTTAATATAGGAAACTATYCGAAAAACGCTCTAAACATCCCTGAAACATTTCTCGAACAAGAATCTCCTTTGCATACCATTATATAGTTCGCCAAATGGTTCCTCATTCTGTTTTTAATCGTCTCTTTTTCCGTCAATTTTACTTTTCAATTTTTTACATTTCATTTTTCCCATTTTTCCCCTGAGGCTATGATTCTGAATAAAACATTACTTCGGTATATCTCAGATGAATGGCGCACAGTTACAAAAAAAGTGCAAAATTACACCATCAGTTAGAAGGAGTTCTTTGATAAAAACAGCCCTTTGGCCGTGCATAAAGGTGTCTGCAATAGAAGTTGAAATACGAAAAAAAAAGCTTTACTACAGCCGCAAGCAAACACASAGCCATACAAGTCACTTATTCATTATACTAAATATATAACATGTCTTTTGAATAGAACATACTRCATTGTATACACACATAACGATATAATCCTATGTTAAACTCAAATCATCTATAGAATACAAAGAAACAATATCCAAGCCGTCGCACATAGCAATATTCGGTTTTGAATGCTMCAGCTCATTACAGTTAACGTGCCCTTTCTTAGATGAAAGCAGCCCTTTTTGATACACATCAGCTTAGGTAATTTATGCCGAAATTTTCGTATTAACACAAAACATGATTGACAAGTTCTTTGCTTAATTCACAGTTGTTTAGATCTCTACTTCAATACAAGAACTTTTAATGAGTACACTCGTTCTATTTTATGATGATTTTCCGTTCAGCTTCATGCATTCTCTAGTTGCAGCTGCTACAGCGAAGAAAACTTCCCCCCAAGCTAAACACTAATTAAAAACCAATCATAGGTGGGGCTGTGATTTGTTTGGTACAAATATTATTGATTTTTCTCAAATGTATTTTGACTTTACAAATAAAAACCACATTGTAACGTTTGCAATATTTAAAGCTGACGGAAAGAAAGCTTTCCAAGGATATTATTTCCTTGTCATGCCTGGTAATTCAATCTTCTGTGGACAGTTTCATATCATTAAATTGAGTGAATATAATTTCATCTTGAATTTTTACTTACGACGATAAAGTCAAAAGGAAAGCTAAATTTCAAATTTAACTCGTRAACAAGCTGTTCAATCATCTTGCCGCAAATTTGCCTTCAGCGTTAGTTGCATTCAGCCATAGTTATGATTCAGCGGGCTAGAAAGCACTGTTTGAAATTGTCAATCCGGGGACTAGTATTATTAAACTATCTGTTATACCGAGAAAAAAGCCTGTATTTGATTTACAGAGATTCCAGAAAAAAGAGAATTTCGAAAACAAACAAGCGGAACTGCCACGTCGGCGGGGCACTAAAGKACGACGGACGCCAAAATGGGCTGGTGAACACAAATTAACTCCTGATAACCTCCCAAGGTGCTTATAAAATGCATTAAAACTAGTTAAAGTATTCGAATTGTGTTGATAACATGCGTTTTTAGAGACTGTGAATATTTTTTTAGAACTCTGTTGTCGTTGATAATGAGAAACTTCTAGGTCCAAATCGATATCTGTACAACAAGCACTGACCAAGTAATTGCGCAACGAAAATACTATAAGATAAGGAAAAACAGCACACGTAAAGCAAAAAAAAAAAAAAAAAAAAAATGAAAATAATAAATAAATAAACACAACAACAATAAATAAATAAAACACACACAAATGAAAATGTCAAAAAAGGGAAATTCAAATGTATTTGTAAAGAAATATGTAGTATTAACGTATCAGCTACTTTACCTGTACAATCTCGGGTTGACGCGACTTGTAATCGAGTTGTGTGGATTACCCTACAAGCGCGTGCCGTTTTTTGTATTCTTACGACCGGAACTGAGATTGGGCTGCAAATACATAAAGGCAACTGTTAGTCAATATAAAGTCGGGATTGCTTATGAGCTTCGATTTGATGACTTATCCTTCATTACCAGCATGGTGCTCACATAATATCAGGGCCAGGTGATGTTGGCTATTGTTACAAGAACCCACTCAAATGCTCTAAAATGAATTCAAATTGTTCCAAAAAMCATTCAAATGCTCGAAAAAACCATTCAAATGCTCCAAAATATAAAAAAAATTAAAATGGACCGGAATGCTAAAACATACAATTGAATCACTGCTAAAAACATCCAAATGTCACTAACAAAATCATTCCTACACTAAGAGAACTATATATTAAATATYAAAACAATACTGAACGGGAATGTTCCAAAAAAGCCAACAAAATATTCCGAAAAATAATTCAAAGTAAAGTGTAACTTCACTGCTATAAATTACTGCAAAAATAACGGACAACAGGGTGAAAACGATTTCATTCTCAAGTTAAACGGCATATTTTATTTCATTTCACTTTGTATATAATRGTAAAAAAGGAAAACAAGAAAAAAWTCAACTCGTGCTGATGTTGAAGTAATTTTAAGTGGAACAAAAACCATGATACTTGACAGAGCGTTTTTCCATTTATTGCTTTTTCTGTTATGTAAACAATAATGGGAATTGAGAAGTGATTTTTTGTTAATCCAATTGTCAAAAGGAGCATTCGATAGTGTAAATGTGCTCGTTGAATTAATATAACAACCTCTAAATAATGTGTAATAATCGATTATGCGTGGTCAAAGATTGGCTACTCTTTTATSCATAGCTCATTTTAATATCGTCCGATTTGCTTCGGAAAATAATATCGGCGCGTTGCGCGCGTCAGATTATTTGCTTAACGAAAACCATTCAAATGCAAAGAGGAAACCATTCAAATGTTAAGCGAATTCTATTCAAATGTTAGGCAAACACTATTAAAATGTTGCACATACACTAAAAAATGTTATGCCAATACTATTTATAAACACCATTCAARTGCTACGCAATCGAATGCCAATAAAATGTATTGACGAAAACAATTAAAATGTTCGGATACCAATCAAATGTTACGCAAAAACCATTGAAATGTTCTTCGAATAAYATTCAAAATGTTTTACAAATATCATTCAAATATTGGTCGAATGCCATTCAAATGTTCAAGGAATCCCATTCAAATGCTGTCCCAATACCATTCAAATGCAAACTGAATACTATTCAAATGCTTTGTAAATACCATTCAAATTTTATGAAAAGGGAGACTTCTATTTAGTTTGGTAAGAATACGACATCCTGATTTACAAAAAGGTGCGTTTAATTAGCTTCACGCTGTACCCTGTCATGACGGTACTGAGTACATTCCTACCCATTACCTCCCGCGTAAGTTTACCAACCCAAGAACACAATTTTGTGTGCTTTCATGCCGAGATACAATCACATTCCCTAAAAACATACATTTGGAACAAACATGCCAGAGTTCGTGTGGGCGTCAATTTTAAACTCATACAATACAGACGGACATAAAATCCTAAATTTTACTTTGTTCTGATTTAATATTTGCTCTTTGTGTGAAAAGCTAAGGCTACGTACTGAGGAACTAAAACCGCTTACGACCTCAAATCATGTTTAAGCTAACATTAGGAGGATATTAGATCTATATTTCAACGTTGTGGATGAAATGATGAAATTCATCTTTAGAATACTTAATCGTGATATCGCAGAATAGGATAAGTAAAAGAGAAAAAGTAAGAATTTTGAGCTCTAGGTCACGAAATAATATTAACTTTATTACAAAAACTTAACAACGTTTTTAAGCATAGCCTATAATATCTTAGTGATTTCCAAAGGAATTATATTGAAGTCATTTCAAGGGCATATTCCCGGGAGCGGACTAGCTTGTGATATGAGCTTTGTAATTTTATCTCGGTTTTCTGAGGTATTTCCCTTCCTTCTAATCGCGTGTAGTCTTGAAGACTTTCATCGTCAGGAAACGATATCTTAAAACCAAGAAATCTGTCGTCAGTGATATCGATAAGAGCTGAAGAAAACAGCTGGCGAGGCCTAATCAAAGTCCGCCACAGAAGAAGAACTGAGAAGGTCGATCCATTAGCCAATCAAATGACAGCAATAAAATCCAAAAATAATGACATTGTTTCGACTGCCTTTCAGGCCAGTCTGTATTATCATCGAGTAGAAGTTAATTTTAGTTCAAGCAACCGTGATTATTCGCTACAATCGGATGGGATTTCATTGTACCAAATGAGATTTTTTCTGAAAAGATGAGGTTCAATATACGACCCTACAGTATGAAAACAATCAATGCACTTTTTAAATTATTTCTGATCTTAGGTCCCAGGCCCCTTATTTCTAAGCACGCGCGTACAAGGGAGCCTGGTTTGAGTTGTGTATTCCAATCCCCATTCCACGCAGAACATTTCATTTAAATAAATTTCGCAATTTAAATTCAAATTTAGGAGCTATTTTCTTAATGTACCAATAACATAGCCGAATTTCGAATTATTCTACGCTTAATTAAAGAAATGAAGTTTTGTGACGTAATTGATACTAATTATGACGTCATCAACTGTGATTTGATAATTACGTCAATTAAGAAAAGACTGTTGAACCGAGCTCTACTAGTGTCAAAACTGTACATTCACCATGGCTGATGTTAAACAAGCTTACAAGAAATTTAGCGCTGATGATGACTTCCCTGATCTATCGAAGCATAATAACTGGATGGCAAAATGCTTAACGAAGGACATCTACAAAAAACTGCGCGACAAAGCAACTAAGAATGGATTTACACTTGATGATATCATCCAGACTGGAGTAGACAATCCAGGTAAGTTCGTCAAACTTTTCATACGCTTACATGCATGTGTCTAACCGTAAATTTAATTAACTTTTCTTTCTTTTTTATTCAGGACATCCATTCATTATGACTGTTGGTTGCGTGGCTGGCGATGAGGAATCGTACGATGTTTTTGGTGATCTTTTGGACCCAGTAATCGAAGCCCGCCATGGTGGTTACAAGAAAACGGACAAACACAAGACAGATTTAAACCCAGAAAACCTTAAAGGCGGAGATGATCTTGATTCAAACTACGTGTTGTCTTCACGTGTAAGAACTGGACGCTCCATTCGTGGTTACTGTCTTCCTCCTCACTGCTCAAGAGCTGAGAGAAGAGCAGTTGAAAAAATCACAGTTGACGCTCTTGAAAAACTCGATGGGGAATTCAAGGTAASAAAMAAATTAGAGRAAACAACAATCAATACAAGTATTGCAATGAAGTAAGGTCACAGGCAGGCCATGATTGATTCACATTCTGATTTTTTCTGCAGGGAAAATACTACCCATTGAACAAGATGACAGAGAAAGAACAAGATCAGCTCATTGAAGATCACTTTCTATTTGACAAGCCCGTTTCTCCCTTGCTCACATGTGCTGGGATGGCCCGCGACTGGCCCGATGCCCGAGGAATTTGGCACAACGAGAAGAAAAACTTTCTGGTGTGGGTAAACGAAGAAGATCATACTCGAGTCATCAGCATGCAAAAAGGTGGCAACATTCGTGAGGTGTTTACACGCTTCTGCAATGGTCTTAACAAAGTGGAGTCACTGATCAAAGAAGCAGGCCACTCCTTCATGTGGAATGACCATCTTGGCTTCGTCTTGACTTGTCCATCAAACCTTGGGACTGGCCTTCGTGCAGGAGTTCATCTAAAGATCCCTAATCTTGGTAAAGATGAAAAGAAGCTAGATTCCATTCTAGAGAAACTGCGCTTACAAAAGCGAGGTACAGGAGGAGTCGACACTGCATCTGTGGGAGGAACCTATGACATCTCCAATGCAGACAGACTGGGTTTCTCGGAAGTAGAGCTCGTCCAGGCCATGGTTGATGGCGTTGGGTTGTTGATTCAGATGGAGAAGAAGCTTGAGAAAGGAGAGAGCATCGATGACTTGATTCCTAAGTAAAGGAGCTCACCCACGACACCTTTTTATATCATTTGTAATTAAAAGCATGGCCTTTCACTGGAATTGACAAACTGTAAAACTAACATTTTGCATAAAATTCAGAATAAATCGGACTTGTAAACAAATTGTTTTATCGCTGAAGGAAAACCATAAAATTGAGGGTGATGAAGACGAAATGGTGACACATGTGATTTAAAAATGTCAATGCACAAAAAAAGTTATATAATATAGAAACAAAATTGGTAAAAACAAGAGAAACTAAAAGAGAAAACGATAAAAAGGGGAGAAGAAAACAGGAAGATAAGAAGTGCAAATCGGAAAGGAAGGAGAGAAGGAAATAAAAAAGGTAGAAAGAAATGAAGACAGAAAGGAGGGCAATGAATGAAGAGCAATAGAAAAGGAGCAAGAAAGACTGCCGGAATGACGTAAGGGCACAGGCAGCCCATCCATGCATTGGGATCGTGACGTAATTCAAAGCAAATTCAGATATCAATCGCGCGTGCTCGTGGTTTTTTCGTTTGTTTCTTGATTTTCATGAACTTTGTCAATATAAATTTTCACGAATCAATTAAAGAGAAGAAATGCTAAAACGTTTAGAGAAAATTTCAGCATCAAAGATAGAGCGAATTTCGTATGAGTGGGACACCGTTACCGCACGGTTACCGCACGGTTACCGCACGGTTACCGCACAGTTACCGGACCTGGCCTGCACAATTTTGGTGAACCAATGAGGCACTAGAATTTGGTTACAGTACGCTTACGGTCACAGTACAGTACCGTCCGTTTCCCACTCATACGAAATCCGCTCTATGAGGTGCCTGTGGCGATATATGAAGCAAGGATAGAGAAAGAGAAGAGATGCGGTAGATAGAGAACATGTAGCTTATGACACAAGAAACGATGAAGAACGAGCTGGAGCTGGATAAAAGGAAAATAAAGATGGAGAAAGAAAGAGAGACTAACGTGTGTAGCAATGAAAGGCAAAAAGTGGTGAAGGATGGAAAATGGTAACTGCAGTGAATAGGTAAATTAACACATAAGTTATCTATAGATGATTAACAAATAAATTCATAATAACAATATATATATAAATATTTGTATATTGTCAAGTTAATTAAAAACATGAAAAATAAATATACAGTGAAACTTAAATTCCCCAATAGGAATGTAATTTTACAGTAGTTGGTGGGAAATTACTTGTATCTTATACATTTTAAACAATGACACTCTAAACCAAATCTACAATAAATTAATGCACTGAGCCTGGAAAAATTATCATAATTATTTACCACTAACTGACAGTATGTTACAATTTTGATTCTACTGATCATGCCTCAAATTAATTTTTCAATCAAATAATCTTCACTGCAGTATCACTCACAGTTTTATGTTTTTTGGGGTGTACTGTGTAAGGTAGGTGGAGCATCTAAGAAGAATCATCAGGATTTCTTTTTCTTGGCTGTCTTGTCAGGTTTACTCTCTGTAGTTGAAGAGGGTCTCTAAAGAATAAATAATTCATAAATTGTGCGTGCGAATTACACAATACTGTTTTCCATATCACTCTACACTTCACAAAACACTAGAAAATTGACACTATTTCTACATGAGTGTATAAGAACTTGCAGCACTATATTAAATGAGGAGTAAATCAGGATTTTCTAAAGCAATGGTACTGTACTAGGCAGGACAATTTCCCTAATATTACTCCTTGGTCAAATAAAAATAACTTCTATTCTATCTATCCCAAGGACAACATACATAACACTCAAATACGTTTGCTGGACTTGAAACAAAAAATGATTAGTAGTTGTAAAATTATTTAAAGTGATTGCCCAAACACAGAGAATAACAAGTAGTTGATAGCAGATTCATATCTCACCTTTTGTGGTAATGTTTGGACTTCTTGCTGTAAGTTTTGGAACTTCTTTAAGTCAGCACTGAACAACACCTGTAAAATGCAACATACTGCTGACATACTGGTAACTATTCAAACATACAAAATTTTTAAGTGATATACAGAGGAGTACTTACAAACTGTGCCCATCCAGCATAATCACCAAATTTGTGACGATAATAGTCTCCTGGATAGGAATATTGCACATCAATTAATCATTCAAAGTGTACTAAATTTTGTATTGGGAAAACAAGTTCATTTTGCATCTTTAATTTGACAACTATTTTGTTGTTTAAAACACACATACTCATACTCACTCACTCACTCCCCAGTGTTGGTTGTATACTTTATGATACCTACCTATCTGCTTATAAAGTTTATCTGTAAGTGACTTAGTTTTGGACAGGTTTGGTATGTAATATTTTGCTGTCACTTGCCATACATGAGTGTCAACTGGTATAGCACTTGTCTTGTCCAAGGACATCAAACAAACACAGTCTGCAACTTTAGCACCAACACCAGGGAGTTCCATTAAGTCTGCAACAAAGAAACAAAGATAAATCATTGTGGCCTGGTGTACATGTAGGTCTGATGCTCAATGYATCCCCTCAAAGAATCATAACCAACCGCCGTACCTTGCACGCTCATATTATTGTTTACATACCTTTAAATGTGTCAAGCATGCAATAGATTATAGATTGATAGTACCTGTAAGGTACTTAGTTAAAGGTATTTCTGTCCAAATTGAAAGGAAGGAAGACGATTCGCACTCACTTTAAGAAATCCTTCGAATCCGCCATTTTCGTGTTCACCTAAATAGCGCTTCGGTTCGCAAGGTACGGCGGTTGGTTATGATTCTTTAAGCAACCAAGTACATTTAATACTTGTGTCACTCTTTTCATTGACAGCCTGGATTCATGCAACAAGACAATGTTAAGACATTGTTTAGTGACCCAGAGCCTTTTAATTTTCAGTTGGAAGATGAACAGGGTCTGGGTACAGGAATGACTGAATGAGGGTTACTCAGTGACACAGCACAGGAATCCCAGCACTTACCTTGACGTGCTTGTTCATAGTCAACATTCTTAAGGTTATAAAGCCATTCAACTCCTTTATCGACAATCATCTTTGCACTTTGATAAATATACTTTGCTCTGTAGCCAAAGCCTTGTTTTCTAAGTTGTTCTTCAACCTTTGGTCCAGCTAGAGAACCAACGCTGGGGAAGCTATAATACTGTGTGCCATCAACTTTGGCCACCTTTTCGCCATACATTGTACACAATTTCTCTACCATTCCTGTGATTCGAGATATATTATTATTCGACGAACATATGAAGCTGAATAGATTTTCTATGGGATCCTGTCTCAGTGCTCTAATGCCTGAAAAATCTGATGCAATCTTCTTAAAATATGGATCATGTTCGGCCCATTTGTTGTATAATTTTAAAACATCTACATCAAGTTGGAAGTAGTCACGAAGAATAACGTCATTTGAGTCTTGGGATGGCTCTAGTTTGATAGCTTTTCTTGTTTTACTGCAGCTGTCGTACTCATAAACTTGATAATAAATATTAAGATCGTCTTGTTTTAGAGTCCAAACTTTGCCTTTGAAAACACCAGTCCATACACTGTCTTCGGATTGTCTCCAGCGGAATGATTGACCTGACGCCAAAACAATATCAAGACGAAGATGGTTGACTTTACAAGGAATGGCCCTCCATGGAGCCGCCATATTGGATACCGGTTAATCTTCGGTCTTCCTGTGTTATCGCAAAGGATTCTGGTCTTATGCAATCAACAACAAAAACTTCACCAGAAAGATGGAAATGCGTTCTAGATAATCCTTCTAAAAAAAAACCTCTTACATGAATCTAAATCGTGCAAATTATTATCCTGATCCTCGAATAGGATCACCAAGTGTTTATCCATGAGTTCATCTAGTGAATCAAACGATGAAAAAGGAACAGCTTATTTCTGGAAGTCAACCAGCATTGAGCCGCAGATTTCGCCGTTGAGTCTCCGTCATGGTATCGCTAAAGTAGCACTAGGAAGCGACCATACAATTCTGCTAACATATGACTCACAAGTATTTACCACTGGCGACAACACATACGGGCAATTAGGATTTGGAGATCAAACGCGAAGAGTACAGATTACAAGGCTTGGGTATTTTGAGGGGAAAGATGTTGTAGACATTGCTTGTGGAGCGAAACACAGTGCTGCAGTTTGTAGCAATGGACAGCTGTATTGTTGGGGAGATTCTAGTAGTGGACAGTGTGGAATTGGTGAAGCAAAGTCAGCTTTTTCTCCTGTTTTAATTAAGTTTGACCCTGATTTACGACCAACTACGAGACCAAGGTATGCCACTGTGAGCTAATAAAAAATTCTAGGCCGCTCACGTACACAATGTAATCCCAATTCTACTAAGTTTATAATTCTATTAAAAGGTCATTTATTATTCAGGATGTTTTTCATAGAATGTGCAAATACACGATTTTAACAAGGAAATAATTTAAATTGAATTTGAAAGTAAATAAGCCGTACTATAGCTAAAAGGTACATTTGCAAAGTTAAATATCTTTAAAACTAGATGAGTAGCAGTAATCTGTACAATCAAGTAGCCAAAATGCACAGATACTCAGGCCTGCTCAATGTAGTGGCCATCATAAGCACAAAATGGCCACTGACAAACCACACAGTGAATGACAGCTGGCCAACATACTCAAGATTCCATGACCCTATAAAATTCTGCTTTAAAAAGTCAGGTATTTCACTTTAACTTGGAAGGCAAAATCAGCTCAGAACACAACATAGCTGTTATTGTCTTTTTTATAATTACATTTAAGCTAAAGTAACTTATTATTTTTGTGAAATGAAAAGCTTTTTAAAACAATTTAAGCTTAAACAATTTAAGAGTAGACCTACAATTAAGTAGTATATTTGCAAATTAGAGCGGATTTCGTATGAGTGGGACACTGTTACCGCAAGTTTACCGCACAGTTACCGTACCTGCCCTGCACAATTTTAGTGAACCAATGGGGCACTAGAATTTGTTTACAGTACGATTACGGTCACAGTACAGTACCGTCCGTTTCCCACTCATATGAAATCCGCTCTAGATGCATACACTCTTCAAGGTCGTCTCTGAGAATTCAGAGCCGTTACCTCATGTTTAACTATACTCGTGAAATAATTGTATTAAAGGTCCATGAATATAGTGTATTTCTCATGTATCTTTTGGATTTTGCATTGACTATTTGTGTTAATTCATTTAAGGTCTAGACCAGTGGATTCTGAGGATGAAAAAATCAGCCACACATCTTCATCGCTGGAAAGACCATTATCCCCACATATGAGTATAAAAGTGCATGTAGTTCAAATATCATGTGGTGATTCACACACAGTTGCGCTGGCTGCTAATGGTGAAGTATGGTCTTGGGGAGCTGGTTGTCAAACTGGGCACGGCACACAGAATGAATGCTTAAGAACACCTCACATAGTTGAAGGTCTAATTGGCAAAAATGTTATATCAATAGAATGTGGTGCATATCACAGTATGGCTCTTATAAAGGATCCTTCAACAATTCCAAAAATAGTTCCACAAAGAGTTAACAAAGAATCAAAGGGATCTAAAAAGAAGCCAAGTAGAAAAATAAGAAGATTTAGTCGTTCAAAAGAATCTACCAAAGGAAAGAAAGCACCATCTTTATTGCAAAGCAGTGAAGTTCTGCCAAATACTGAAATAAGAAGGAGCTCTTCAACTAAAACATATTTAAGTTATGAAGCAGAAGTCTTATCTCAAACAAACCTCATTGAAGCCAAGGAGCAACCTAAAACAAACCAAGCAGAACTATTAAAAATGATCAATGAAAATCACAGAACATATAATGTAAAAACTGATAACTCATCTCATTCAGAAGAGGACAAGTCTGTAGATAAAAGCAATGAATGCTGTGATGAATCTCAAATTCCTTCAGTAAACAACACACCAGTTACTGGTGATATTTCAAGATTAGGAAATGACTTGACTACTTCAATGGATCCTCCTGTAATAGAAAGCAAGTTACAAATTGAAGCAAGTATTACAGAAAAAGAATCATCTAGTAGTACAATTAATGATAATCATGGCACTGGAAGCATTCCAATAAACCGCTTAAGCGTTAATGATAACCACTACAACATTCCTGCACACCCTCAAAAAACACAGCTTGAAAGTGTAATTTCTAGTTCACCTGAATACTCTTGCTCTCCTCCTCAAAGTGGATTTTCACACTCACACTTTGATAACTCTGGTCAAGATACTTTTGTGACAACAGATGTCTCAGGTAGTCTTTGCAAGACATCCTCCTTGTTTGAGAGTGTTGAACCAACTTCTCTGTCAAGTCTTGGAAGTATTTCAGACTCAGATGAAGTCACATCTCCGACCACTGAAGAACAGCCAAGCTCTTTGAGTACATATCTGGGTATTGGGAATCTCTTAACCAGCAGACTTCGCCAGGAAATGGACATTGCTAAGATAACTTCAGCAGTGTATGACTCAGTGACAGGCATGTTTATGTCGCCGTCCAGTCTTCCTGTACAGGCTGATAAATCTGCTGTGCATGGTGCACACTGCTCTGAGTGTGGAGTGTTAGGTTTTTGTGTTTGTAATGGCAAGACATCAGCACAGGAGACATTTCTTCATGAGGGCTATGACACACAAGTGTGGACTTGGGGAAGTGGAGGCTGTGGTCAACTTGGACATGGCGATACTGAAGATAGGTGAGRCTATTTAAAAATATGCAAAATTAAAATAACTACAAAGTTTATGGAAAGAGAGTTATTTGGGATAGCTTCAAGATGAAGCAATAATATGTAATAAAGCAGATACTAGAGTCTATGAACACCTCATTGTCATAGAACTAACATTGTACATTGTGCATAATTTGTATGTGCATTGTACATGTACTTAACTAAGTATATTGTATTGTACAATTTGTAAATGTTTTGGTCCCATATGGAAGAATGATTGCATGGTCATTGATGTAGTGGAGTCTGCTTTTCAAACTGTCCATTGAATGATATTTTAGACAATTGCCAGTGCTGCTGGTTAGTAAAGATATGGGTTTATAGCTGCTAAAACACTGATTTAAATATGTCTGCTCAGTACTTTATATTTGATAATGCATTATTAATTATCAAGGTCCATCAATGGACTAATGCCGAACAGCAATAAACCTTGAATAGTCAATATTGTTTTATGATTTTAGGTCACAACCATGTTGTGTTGAGGATCTAAGTGGGACGGGAATTATCAAAATCTCTGCTGGAACATTTCACTCTTTGGGCTTAACTGTTTTCTGTCAGGTTTGTTTAATTACATTTAACAATACAATCTTTCTCACATTTCACCTGTTTTCTGTCAAAGCCACAATTGATGTAGATGAACAGTGAGTGTGCAATGATAGAAACCTTTTTCGCACCTGTCATCATTAGATATCTACAATATCATTGCAAGCTCACTGGTCATTTTGCTTTGATTGAGTACAACCATGTGTTTATCAATTATGGCTCTTGTCTGTTTCAAGAACCCTTGGTCATAACAGCTCTACCAAAACACTTTTTCCATTAATAATTAGGATGTCATTGCAATCAAAGTGGTGTAATAAAATCATTCTAACTTTTAAATTTCCATTTCCTTTTTTTATTGAAAAGGTATTTTCTTGGGGAGATAATTCCTGTGGTCAACTTGGTCACAGAAAAAAGTCCCTTTCTGTTAGACCACGAAAAGTTAGGGTGAGTGTTCAAGTGTTTTCAATATTCATAATTAATTGATTGATTGACAATAGAAATAAATAATTAAATAATGAAGATCAGTTTTAACTTGGTAATATAAAAAAAAAAATTCTCTTTCATGATGCAAAACCAAAATATATAGATTTTGGTAACCAAATCTAATGACCTCTAATTCCTCTACATATCAAGTATAATTGATCGGAAATCGATCCATAGGCAATTTAACATACTAGGTACTTTAGTGACTTCAAAAAACAGACATGGTTAGTTTAATCAGTTGAACTAGCATTCAAAAGAGGTAATCCATCAGACTCTTTCATAGATAGTCTGCATGCACTCTACTTATTACTGCAAGCTTCAACATGGTTCTAAAGAATTAGCTGTAGAAGAACCAACCCCAAACATTAAAAACACAYATGTTATAAATGCAGAGAAGGCATCTGATGATGAATGAATTAAGCACCCTGTGATCACCAGTGTACATGTACAGTTTTCACAGTATGTAATGTACACTATAGATTGCTTAATGCTCATTGTAGATAAATAATCCAGTTACTAGTATTGATGGCTGAATCTCCTTCTAGTGCTTTTCTGATGTATTGATATGGGACATTGCCTGTGGCAGCCATTACTCTATATTTATTGGTGATATGGCTTTGAACAGACCAGATGTTTATGTTTGTGGACGACAGCCAAGGTATGCTTGTAATGACATATTAATTGATACAATAGTCAGGTCATAACTTAGCTATGTACTGTACACTACATATTGCTCCAAAGATGTTTGTGATTGCAATAATATCACTTGTCGCAAAGCCATTACATGAAGGGTTGACATTACCGAACCACTTCGCACCCAGTGGTGCATAAGGCCTTYGTTCAGCTTCTCCACCTTTATCGGGTCAACATGAAGGGTAGGGTCCATGTATTTACAGCAGGCTGTTAAAGAGGTTAACATTGCAGCTTAAGTCATAGTTCATTGCATTGCCCTGGCAACTGTCACACTGATTTATCTGATAAGTATATATTAATAAGTGTATATACTTACCACAAGATGAAAATTAGTAAGATGGGTAAGGAATATTGGGAAATTAAGATAAGCAAATGCAAAAACAACAACTCAATTTACTAAGTATTGCAAAAGGAAACCAGAGGGAAGAGTGGAAGCAAAGAAAAGTAATACAATTTTTGCTGTCAAGGCAAACCACATGCAACAAACTTGCTATGAACAGCTGACTGTTTTACTCACTGCTGGCTTTGATCAATATTAATAATCACATTTAAACCTAATTAAAATATTTTGTTTCAATTCAAATAGTGACATGCCTGTCATTGCTGCTGCACTCAAGCAACTTCATGAATCTCAATCTTCAAAAGAYGACAGCACTATTCRAGCAAGCATCAAAGCAAAACGTCCTTTAACCCATTCACGTTCATTTGACGACACCAAGGAAAGGTCACTTGGTGTTCGAGTAGAACTTGTCAGGCTTATCATGTTCAGGAAAGTGGGAAGTGTGCGCACTGTCTATGCCCAAAATGAACATTGCTGCTGTTTAGCTGCCAGGTACTGTATGTATGGCAATTTCAAACATGACACATAAAACAGACGAAGATTTCAAATGTAGTTAAGAATTGTGTCAGAATAAATGCTTGATGAACAAATTACAGACAACATGTTCCACCAAAAATATACTGCCATGTCATGATAATCAAAAGTTGATTCATTCAACAAAGTTTGAACATGTTTGGTGATCTGACATTTCTCATCGATCTGGTCTTACTTTTGTATTAGAGACCTCATGCAGTCTTTGACATTTTCCTCCCTCAGTAACAGTCTAACAACTCTGTTGTTTGTATTTCAGTGATTCTACTGGGCTCTTAGATGAACTAAGTGAGCTTTCCAGCCAAGAACGCTTCTTTTATTATCAGTTAGCTTTGATTTGGCAATCAGTATTAGTTCCAGTCATACAGTCAGGTATTGTACTACTATAATTGGTCAAGCCTTTATAACAAGGAATAATGTAATGTACATGTATAAAGTACGGTAACCAAAATCATCCTTACAAACATGTTTGTGTATTGTAAAATTTTGGATAAGTGATGATTCGGATAAATGGTAAAGCCCCAGCTGGGTTGGACAGGCATATAATATAATATAATTAATATCTGACTTCAATAATAATTTTGGTTGTTGAAAACATTAGAACTTAGTGAAACAATCTTGTCAAAACTCCAAACTGCTTTTAACTTCTCCCTTCAACCGAAACATACTTTGTCCTGTAAGAAATTTTCAGCTTGTTTGTAGAGAGCAGCATACTTAGGAAGCTGTTCTGTTAGGTGATGTTCTGAGTTTAAAAGATTGAGGCCATCCTTTCAAAGTGTAATATTTTCTTGTTGTTTTGTTCTTGAATAGATTTGTGGACAATAATGTTCTCACAGGATAGTGGGTCTGTTCTATTGCCTGTCATTCAAGGATATCTCAGTCTGATGAAATGTGTGTCCAACAGTGTTGTATCTGTGACAGAAATCATACAAAAATCCAAAACATTGGACCAGTTGTTTGATACTTGTTTGTCTGATGAATATATAATGGCATTTGAAAGGTTTGTACACAGTCATATTCACAGCCATAGTCATATTCACAGTCATAATCACACAACAAAACATCTGTGAAGAAAATCAAGAAAATGACCAACTCCGTGCGCAGGGCCTCGCCTTCTAGGATTCCAAATAAAAATAAAGATTTAATAATACATCACCGCTACGGCACGGTACGGTCACAGCGCGAAAGTACCGTGTTTTTTGCATAGTCATACGAAATGCGCTCTATTGCCATAGTCACGGTCATTTATCATAACGGTAGTCATATTCACAGTCACTGCACTCGTAATTTGTACGTACAGTAGTACAGTGTATCAATTTATCCAGAATGCACTGTGTGTTTCAGGTATTCTGAATTAGTCAGCAATGCTGTGGCATTTGGTGTTTTCATGCTATTCACAAGTTTGTCACAAGACGTGGGTCATCAGTGTAAAGCAGTATTGCGGGATCTCCTGGAAGATGCTGACAAGGTACTTTGTTAGTTTGATCGTTTTCAATCATTCAAAAGATAAAAGAACTGCGGCTATGTTGTAGGAATGAACAATAGATATTACTTGCTTTGAGTGAACAAACTTAAAATGGTCCTTGACACATTGTTTTGACCCGGAATATTTCTAAAAGAAAATCAAAATTGGCGCTTTTTCCTAGCCGAGGACTATTGAAAATGAGTAGCGTAGCCAATCAGAACGAAGGACTTGCAATAGTCCACTAATATGGTAATACTAATGATAGTCATCCATTGAAACAGGAGTTCATCAGTTACTTTGAAGCATTTCAATGTGTGGCAAGAGTACCAATGGTGCGAATACAGCATTATGGGGATGTTACTAAGAAACTACTGACTGTTTTACCAAAGGTTAGTTAACAATGGGGAATAGATTTAGTCTACTGCTTGCCTTTGTATCAAATCAAGAAAACCATTGAGCAGAAAAGAATGTTGTGAAATGATTGCGAAGCTCCAACTCTTGTAATGACGTTAAAATTTTTATTTTGACTAAGTATTGCTTATTATTATAAATGGATCGCACTTATGTACAGATCACTGTTCATATTATATACAAAATAAAAAAATATCATTTTACTCATACAAGGAGGGACGAAACCATTCATGAGATAATGTGAAAATTATTCGTTGGTAGGTTGGTTTGTTGTCCAATGAGGTTATCAAGTATAAATATCTTTATATGAAAATAATACTTTTGCAATGTTGTTCACAGGACGATCCTATGCACATTAAGCTACAAAGAGTATGCGATTTGTGGGAAACACTTTCCATTCAAGATGAAAAAAGATATTTGTTAGCTGAACAAACCAGACTATTTTGGGAAGACTGTCCATCTAAGATCGCTGTGAGTGAGAATTCAGTTACTATACGATACGTTGGGTAGTCTGACACCAACTAGATACATGCTTTCCTCTATATTTTAACAGGAAACATTCAAAGTTCCAAATCGAAGACTTCTTCGAAGTAGCAAAACGCACCCTCTATACCCCTCCAAGTCAGGGCGGTTCTCAAGTCCCACTTATGTCCTATTTGATGACTACTTTGTCAACATCCAGGTAAGGGATGCCTTTTATAGGCATTGGTTTCCTTTATTAATGGAAAGTTGTGTAAGATAAGTATGTTTATTAGCTCTCACGTGTGTGGATTAACATTTGACGCGAGTTCTAGTTTTTGGTGCCAGTGCCTCGTAACGAGGCTCAAGTCACTGGCCTTTTAGTATGTGTGACTGTTATTCGGGATAACTTCGGTATTGCCCGCTTTTTTCTTCGGTAGGTATTCCTTTCTTCTTCGGTTACCTTCGTATCTTTCCGTAATRACTGGATTTCCTATGTAATGCTGCATTTCCTGTGTATTTTATTTTTAGACTTCATATTTTTATTACTTTTACTTGAGTGTCTTTGCCCTTCTTTCTCATGCTTTGGTTACAATTAATGTCAAGTGAAGATTAGTCCGTGTAGAATTCATTTTAATCAGACGTTTAGGTGATTATTGTGCTTTCATTTTAGTCCAGTAAAAACTACCAAGCATTACCTCTGAACACTTTGTGGGCTGAAAGAGTTGATGAAACAGAGGGTCTTGTTCATGCCATCAAGATAACCTCACCAGAAGAGACTTTGCTAGTATGTGCTTCATGTGATTCTGACAGGGTATGCTAGATTCCTTCAGATATTCATTCATTTACTTTTATTCTTTCATTCATTCATCTTTTCAGCATGGATAAGATTTAGTTGACCTGTTCCCATTCTAAATGTAGCTCCATCTCCATTCCGATTCAATAGTCATGAACAAAGGAATTGAAGACTCCAAGGAAATGATTATCTCTTTTTTCCCTTGAGCCTCGTCCTCGATTCTTTTGTGCATTGCTAGTCAACCGAAATATCGAATGTGGCTATTCATATTATACTGATATAAACGTTTTAACAGACTGATTGGCTATGGACCATCAACAATGCTATTGCCCGAGTCATCTCCAAGACCACTGCTTACAGGTAAAAAAATTCCTATCTACATGTATTCATAATTTATTGTTAAGCGAGAGATTATAATGAACGTATAATGAATAAGGATGCAAATGTTCTTGTATATTAACGCCAATAAAATAAAATACATAAATACATTTTTTACGTCTAGATACGGGGAATCATCGCCGAGTCTTCGTAGCCAGTGTCTACCTGTTATGTATCAGACTTGCTCGCACTCACGATCACTACTATATTGAATTAGCACACAACACTTCTCACTTTATTTCTAACAATTAGATATTTCTAGCCAATATTTCTAGCAATGTGATAAAATGACGAAAATGATATATAGGTCCTGAACTATGACGTTGAATTATATCATACATCATATATCCCACACGGAACGCATCTCTTAACCTAGACCTGGAATTCGCCTGTGTTTGCTCAAAACGCCGGATTGTTTAGGGTTGCATCTATGGCACAACATTTGCGACTGTGTTTTAAATGTGATAAAGCACAAATGAATAAAATGTCAATGTTATATGTGGATTTATAAGGTCAATCACCTGACCAAACAGATAGATGTTATTGGAATAATATAATAGTTTATGAATTGTTATGTGTTTTACCGTGGCTCTGCTTTCCATTTAGTTTTATCCATAATTTTTTTTGTGTGTGTTTTTATGTTCATTGATATCTACCCTTCGTATAACCAGTTTCTGTCCTTGCTTACAAACCTTCTCTTCTCAACACAGGCTTGGTAAAGATGCTGTGAACTCACTGACTGGTAATCTGTCAGCGGCAATGGCTCGTGAGGCAGCATATACCTTCACACAGGATTCTCGCTACAAGAACGCTACATATACTGGAATGTGGCTAACAGGAAAACCGCACGGACGGTAAATAATTCAAGTGTGTTTGATAAATATAAATAATTTGAATAAGTATCAAAAAGCGCATTAAAACATTTGGCATATTGCAGTGTTTGTGCTACTCCTTGAAATCCTTGAAAAGTCCTGAAATTGAAAACTAGAAAAACCGCTAAAACGCCTGGGAAACTCCTGGAATTTGATCAAATTGACATGTTGCTATTTAGCTTTTGGATTGAAATTTTGAAAATCGCCACTGAAAACGTTTGCAAACACCAAAAAATATCTTGAAAATAGTACTTGGAAAATCGCATTTTTGAGCTTAAAAAGTACTTGAAAAGTCCTGGAATGTTATAGTGAAAATATAGCATGAACCTTGATATTGAAAAATGGGAATGCAGTTGCTGTCAGAGTATGCAGAATTACTGTGAATCTGTTTGTTTCCAGAATTGTGAATGACATTTCATGTTATAAGCTGTTCCCCTCCTTTGCAAACGACACTGGTTTTGTCCAGGCTTTAGTGCAATAACAATTGTAAACTCATGTACATATAGATGAAAGTGTTATAAAAGTTATACAAATTATATAAAAGTTGTTATAAAAGTTATAAAAATACGATAGATTTGTCAAGGCTATTGGCGGTGATTGTAGGTTATTTTCTCAAGGGCTGTCTTCGGTTTTTAGTGTTTTTACTAATGGGTAGTCTGGTAAACTCATTCTTTGGCCTTTCGCTGTTCATCGACCTTTCGTATACGTCTCCCTATGAATGCTAATTGAATGCGAAAGTGAATGGATGCTAATTGTAATATTTTTAATTCAGTGGAGAGATGACATGGAGCGATGGTAGATACTACAGTGGAGAATTTCAAAATGGCTTACATGACGGGTAAGGGCTGCTACATCTGTAAATGATTTTAGTTTATCCACTCTTCTTCATGTTGTGAAATTTGTTTTGGTACAGAGAAGGTGTTATGGTGTTTCCAAGTAACCCTGACAACCCTGCTGAGAGATACGAAGGTCAGTGGCTGGGTGGAAAGATGACAGGTCATGGAAAAATGAGGTAATTTTGAAAGACTTTGTTCAGAGTTTGTACTGAGCTTTTGTAGTTATTCCTCCAATCGCTATAACATAATCTGCAGTATGGTTTGTAATGCCTGCATTTGCGTTTCCATTCTGAGCTGCCCATTTTATAAAATATTACATTGTCTTCTTGAATATGTCATGCTTAAATATGGCAAATTGCGTCCAACATCCATCGTTGCTGCCCAAGTTTGAAAACGTTGGTTCTTGTTCCTATGTCTTCTAACTTGTCTCTCGCAGCAAAAACAGTTGTTGTAAGTTGGACAAGTCATGCGCGACAATAGTCTCCTTCACGGTTACCTGCGCCGAGACGACCGGTGAGCGTGCAATGATAGAAACCTGTSATTAATTGTCTGTAGGTGTGAAAGAAGGTTTCTGTCATTGCACGCTCAACGGTCGTCTTGCGTCGATGCAAAGTCACGGCTACCTTTCAAGATGGCGCCGGTAACCGTGAAGAAGACTATTAGTTAGAAGAATCGTTTTGAAGAGATGACATTGTACATTTGTGCAGCGAAATGTTCTGGGCAAGTTGGATGTGCGCTGTGAAAAAGGAAAATGACCCTTTTTTGGTGCGCAAGAAGTTGCTAGTGCTCAGACAAGACGACAAAAGCCATCAAACTTGAACAAAAATATCATTCCTCGACAATTTGAGTGGTGTATTTTGGTCGTATTTAATTTACAGTAACGGTGCTGCGCAATGCTTGTGCCTGTTAAATAAGAGAAATTGTGTCAATCATTGCATTTCAGGTACACTAACGGTGATACCTATGTTGGCAATTGGCTGGACAACATGAGACACGGTCATGGTACCATGAAGTGCGGTGCTTTGTCATCATCAGCAGCTAGTGTTTATATTGGTGAATGGATGGCAAATAAACGGCACGGCTATGGCAGCTTAGACAATGTCCTTAAGTAAGTTGTGTCACTCTTTATTTTCCCGATACTTTAAGGATTAAGGACTAAGATGGAATATCACGTGATTTATTTTTCTATCGTTTTATTGTGTGTAATGTTTGTTTTTAATCACTTTATAATTGTTTATAGTGACCGCACTATTGACATATTATTAAAAAGAAGATTGCGAAAACTACGTTTCCATCAAGATATCAACATTTCCATTGTGGCGTTGGTGCGCGTCGCCTATTCTTTGCTTGCATATCACCCCACAACAGCCTTGAAAAAATATTTCTCAATTGATGTACATTAATATGATCTGTAACCGTTGTTAATATATTACCATTCAGTGCTTTTGTTTATATTTTTTATTGATGGCGATTCTAATAGAGGCGAGAAGTACATGGGCATGTGGGAGAATGACTGTCGTCATGGCAATGGTGTGGTTGTAACTTTAGAAGGTCTTTACATTCAAGGGATCTTTTTACAAAACAAAATGATGGTATGTAGCCATAGTAACCAAACAATCTGGAACGAAAATTCTTACGATATGTAGAAAATATAGATAAATATAAACAGAATTTGATGTATGGATTTATTTAAAAGACGATCTTCTGATAGTTGGGTACCTTTTCTCAGGGGCCTGCTCAACTAGTTTGTGATGACAACACAATATTTGATGGGGAGTTTTCAAGTCAATTCTTGTTGGCAGGAAAGGTAAGTTGGCACTGTTAAAAATCGAGGTTGAAATCAAAGCCTGGTTTTTACTAGCAATGTATGAGTTTTATTTTGTACTAGTGAAACCGTTAGCGTGAGGGTAAGATGTAAAGAAAGAGCTTTTTTCTTGCGTTTGTGCTTACGTTTATGATTACGTTTGTGTTTGCGCTTAACTTTGCTAGTGCAAATGAAACTCTCAAGCTCAATGAATATGGATTGATGTCAGATGAATTGTCAGATGACCAATCGAACCAATCACAAGCCTTATTTGACCAGTCTTCCCTGTCCTAAAACTAAGAATTGTTCAAGGTCGCTCTTTTCAATGAAAGATTTGCGCACATTGCCGCCCCGAGTTTTCACTTCAAATACGCCCTTTTTTGTCTGCGCTTGAATCTGCGTTTACGTGGCTAATGAAACCCAGGTTCTTTCAGGCATTAAATTTTAAAACAATTACTTGCTTGTTTTTCTAGGGAACATTAACTCTCCCTAGTGGTGATTTTATTGATGGTACCTTCAATGGACAGTGGGGTGATGGTATCAAGATTAGTGGGACATTTTACAAAAAGGAATCTGACAGCAACTCAAAATCCAAATGGTAATCTAAGTACTGAAGTATTTGATGCAGTATAGAACAGACCTTATATCCGTGACATAGTTTTAATTATAATAATAGAATACAAAGAAATTGTAAACTTTAACACTGCGCATGTGTGTGGTTCTAATAAGTTACGCCTTAGAACGCTGCAATTCCATTGTATGTCCTTGAGCCTATTATAATCACACATTATGAATTAGTGGCTTTTGTTTCACGGGCGTAAAGTGGTTTTCGACAGACTGTGAAAAGAAAACGTCTATTTGCTGAGAGGTAATGAGAAGACTTCACTTTTTCCTACTGTTTTAGTTCTGCTCCTGACGTCAAACCAGTGATGTCACCGGACAGGAAGTGGATGGCATTATTCAAACAATGCCGTGAAGCACTTGGTTGCCATGGTGATCAAGATGCAGAAGTGTCCACTGTTTGGAAGTGTGTTTCCATGGCATTGTTGAGCGGTCATAATGGTAAGATACCTAGAACTGAACAAGACGTGATGCAGGAGCTACTGAATGTTAATAATGAGATGGAAAGAACGGGAAACCATTCTCTGCACGACTACAAGGCTATACAAAATTATTTAGCAAAGGTATGCAGCAATAATAGACTGTTGAACCTTGTACGTCACTACCTTTTCAATGCATTGTGGGATCAGTTTCTAGAGAAAGCAAAAGAAATTCGCCATGTTCTGTCACAAACATATTCTGCAGTGCATTGCGTATACGGTACGTGGCGTAAAAGCTTCAGAGGTCTATTAAATAATATGCAAGAAAATGTTTGTCGAGTTCTGAAGACAGAATTCAGGATATTATACTTGCTTACTCAATCCCCCAAACGAGCTCTGTTCTTAGCCGCCAGCTTTACTTGTCAATAGGCCTTTTGCATGAAACGGTCACATGGTACAAAATCCGCCATACTGGATGGCAAACAACCTCAAAAACAAAAGGAACGCAGCCCGTCAAGCTTGACTTTTCTTTGTTTTGAAAATCCCAGTGGGTATTTTGCCATCCAGTATGGCGGATTTTGTACCATGTGACCGTTTCATGCAAAAGGCCTATTAGAAGCTTTCCTGCTTGTGACTGACGATAGAATGGAAAATGTACAGACGAACAAAGCCTTTAGTATAAAGTTTTTATGGACGATATGTCTAACTCTATATTTGTTTTCTCTGCCAACATTAGAAATATTCATTGTGTTTCAGGCATTTGAGATGAGTTATCATCCTCTGGGCCAACTAGTGTCTGGATTGGTTGATGTCTATAGGGCTACCTATGTTGGTATGGGTACACACCGACGCTTGCTACCACACGCTGTAGCTGAAGCAAAGTCTATAATTCATAGACTGTATAACATTGTAAGGTGAGAAATACACAGAAAAAGCTAACGATTCGGAACACAAAATATAAACTGACTACAAATAATGTTTATGAGGCAATTAAAGTTCTTACTTTTACGAGAGAAGTTGATATCCAGGCACTGCGCAATGTACTAGGTCCTAGTACAGTGCGCAGTGCGTGAATTCCTAGAATTCAGTAAGAATTGGGTCACATGTAAGAAGAGTTTGCGTTATGTATTCTCGCCGTTTGGCTGAGATATTCCTGGCTTATTGTACTTGTCTTCCTTGTTAAAAAGTAGTTGGAATCGAATAGTATTATTATAAAATCATATCCATGAGTTTAGTGTGTAAGTGTTGTTTTATTAATTAAAGATGAAGCTTATAACTGAGCGAGAATTCAAATCGTTAAAAATAGAGCAGTATATCTGAAATTTTGCGCTTGTCTCTAGTATTTTTGCATTATCTTATCGTTAATGTTTTTGATTCTTCTTTTATTGATACCTGTGTATAGGGTAGTAATGATAGATAGCTGTTTACTATAAACTCGTGCAGATGATTCAATTATGTGTTGTTGTTTTTTTGTGTTTATTTTTGGCAGACTGCTTTTCGCAGACCTTCCCAATGAAGAATATGTCCATTTAGATAAAGACACTTTATCTGGCATCTCTAATCACCACACAGAAATCTCTACATCAAGCAGTGCATTGCTACACCCTATTGTACTACCTCTACTATACCCACCATTATTCACTCTCTACGCTCTGCACAACGAACGAGTTGATAGCCTGTACTGGGAACGACTAATGCACTTAAACTGGAGGTCTGATTTGGCACTGATGAAATTTGTTGGAGTTAAAAGGTACGACTTACGCGTTTAAACCTTGCTAAAACAGGGATATTTTTTTCATGGGTTGTTAATTAATTGTAGGCAATTTTGGTTGAGTGATGAAGGAGAATTGGAAAACTTCAGTGGAGAGGTAAGTGTTTTTACGATGTCTTGAACAACATTGGTCTCTCTCTAAGCCCCGCTCTATCTGATCGGTTCCTTGGAAGTCTATGATAAAGTTTTTTCACGGGTATATCCATAAAGTCGACTATGAAGTCTTCGCGATTAGAAAATTTTGTTTCTCTCTTTTATGATATAAGATTAGAAACATCCAGGAATTTTTAAGATGGCATGAGAACCATTTGAAACTTTTAAAGTTTTAAACTTTTAAAAGATCGGCCCCAAATTCGTGTGCAGACCTGTGCAATTATCGAATCAAATAATTAACTTTCAAGTTGGAAGTAAGGAGAAGTAAGACAGGGTCTTAATGGGGGGTCTCAATGTCGGTAGTCAGTTAAAATTTCAAGCATTTGTCGCTAGTCAGTTAAAATTCTAGGCATTTGTCGGTAGTCGGTTATTTAAAAAAAGTTGATAAACATTAAGTTTAAATGCATCTAAAACGGTGCTTTATACCAATAGAATTCTTTCTAAAATGCCAACAATCCTTGAGTCTTGATTGGTCAATTGGATGTCCCTCAAAGTTTTAGAGTGGCTCATCACAACTTCAAGAGGCCAATCCGAAGCAAAATTTATTTTTTCCGCGGAAAATTTCGAATGTAGTTGCTTGAAAAATAAAAAAAAGCTTGTATTCACGGAGCTAACATCTTTGAATATTGGAAAATGTCGCCAGTCAGTAAATTTGTTAATGTCGGTAGTCAGCAAATTTTGTTCAAATTTGTCGCTAGTCAGTAGTTATTTTGTCCATTTGTCGCTAGTCGGTCAACCCCATTCAGACCCTGGTAAGACGTGTGAACCGGTAGTCCGTGTATCGTTTTTCTGCGAATTGCTACTCTACATTATATTCACTGTTATTGAGATTGCTTGTTCATGTTTTAGAGTGAACACCAAGAGGCTCATCATTACGTGTCAGCCATTGAAGCCTTGCAGCAAATCAGGTATGTTGAGATCACGATGGAACAGAGTTCACTTACCAGAGTTGATTACCAATATATGGTTGATTCTAGGATATAACGAGTTGTTAATAAACTATTTTCAAGGATTTTCCTGGTATTTAGAAACATCCATCTATTAGGAATACTAGATAAATTATTTTATTGACATTGTAGACGGCTAATACTACTTCATTTCATCGCATGTTTAAATCAAACGGCCGGGATTTTAAGTATTACATACATACCCAGCAATGAATATACCATTGATTCAAAATGTGTCATTATTCGTTTAGCACTAAATTGAGCCCTATGGAAAAGTTAGCAGTGTTGAAGACAACGTTTGAAAAGATTAACGAGGTAGATATTATGTCATGTCTATCCGCTGGCCAAGTGTACATGCTTCACTGGGTTGATTGTTTGATTGGCTTGCTGAGTTTCGTTGAAAATAATGAATGACTGCCTGATTGATTTATTGGTTAATTAATTGATTGATTGCCTGATCGATTGATGATTGATTGATATCGATTGATTGAAAGAGATGATCTATTTAATATTCACTAAGCTGTGACAATTGACTTACAGGAAGTCCATAACTACTGGAAGGGCGAAGAAAAGCTCATCTCCCTTGATGACTTGTTTCCAGTCTTTCAGTTTGTGACTATCAGGGCTCGGTACGTATGTTTATTGATATTGGAATTATCCTGTGATTGGTCGAATGTATCAAACCGTTTATATACCAAGCGATGAAAAGTGGTTTATTACAAGGTTAAGAAACTGTTTTATTTTATTAGGGTTAATTGTAACTTATGTCTAAAATAAGCTTGCTTTAATTAACTATTGCTTTTCGTATATAAATAAATTGAGCAAGTTTCTACTGCTACGATTAACATTTTCCAGTGTTTATATAGTGAATATAGTTACATTTTCTTTTTCCAGTATTCCTCACATGGGCTCTGAAATTCATTTTATTGATGACATGGTGGACAGTCATGTACATGTAGGAGAACAAGGTCACATGTTTACCACACTCAAGGTAAATACATACTGTAGTGTAAACACATCTTTGACATGAGCCCATACCTATACTAGGGTAGGAACGTTGGTGCACCTAATATGCTTCAAATAAATCCCTCTCATTTTCTTATATATATCATAACAGTCCAAGGGATTCAGTTTCCTTGACGGATTTCAAGCCGAGAGGAAACTGGGCAAACTTCCCTAATAGGCAATGTGCACAGACGCCATTTTGTGCTGCAAAGCATGATGGTAGTTGTAGTCATCGCACTTATTATAACCTACAACTACCATCATGCTTTGCTGCGAAAAAAGGCGTCGTTGAACATTGTTAATTAGATAATGGTGACAGATAATACTCAAATAGAGAGAAAAACCTTATCGAGGAATGCTAAATCCCCAATTTTGTGTAAATTAGTTCAATAGTGAACGAATTACAGTTTTTCAAATACGCTAAATTTTCCAAAGAAATGTATGGGATCTATAGTGATCCGGAAAGTGGTCAAAGTGCGGATATAGTCGCGGCTTCGTTTATATTCTTTTTGGAAATTCTAGAACATTTGAAATCATTTGTAAACAACTAATGATTATTTCTCTCCACAGGCAAGCTTTTTCCAGATCCAGAATGAAAAAGGCTGACAATTTTTCATCGAATTACATCAAAAGTTTATTTTTATGTCTGCAAACTCTATCGTTTTCGCGATATTTTTTTTTTCTTTTTGGATAAATCTAAATATGTACATGTAAGAACAGAAACAAAAAACCTTAATATGTAAAGGACCAGAAATACAAGAGTACAAGAACTATATTGGAATCGATGTTTCTCGTTTTACATTTTGCCTATGCACTAGCAACTTGTCATGAAAACAAGAGGTTGCGAGCACTGTATCTAACTAGAACAGCAACAATATTGCGCCACAAGTTAATGTTTTTTGTACCTCGTATTTCTCGGCCTTAAAAACAGAAACACATAAGGGGACTAAAATGTGTACTATCCGCCGTCCACGTGTTCCATGCTCCGTAACTAGATTTGTCTAAGAACGAATTTTTGTGTAAAAGTTGCTTACGAAATTGAAGAATTTCTCCTCAACCTCTGTCAAAATGAGCAATAAGTTGATTTCCTGCACTTTCTAGCTATATTCAGTTGGGTTTTGGGTACAAAATATGGTATCAAAGTCGTGTTGATCAGGTTACGGAGCATGTGCAGTGGCATGAGACCGACACAATCCTCTTCTGAGTTTCTTGTCATCGTCATACCACATCATCGGGAACTCAAGGGTAATCTTCTGTCGTTCGTTCCGGAGTGAGAAACGAACGACATAAGATTACCCCTGGGTTCCTGAGGATGCGTCATACCACACTTCATTTCTCAAGAGAATAGTCAAAATTATTATCGCAAATTAGCTACGTTACATGCATATTTCGCATTTTATTTATTTTAGCCCTTTTTTTAACGTTCTTGGCAAATAGCTGTATAGACAATTTGTGAAAAAGTGTGCAGTACTTTCTATATTTCCCGCTGTATAAAAAATTTTTAAAGATTTTTATCTTGTGTAAATTATTATGTACAGCTTTGTGTGAATATTCGTAACTATTAATGACGATATCCTTGAAGATATTTATTACATCTTGTAGGGCTGGGGCCGGTTGTAAGAAGGGCGGATATTTTATAAAACTTATCCACTCCTTAGATTTTGTATGTGATTTAACTGCTGGATTAGGATTTATCCGGTGGATAGCGCTATTATGGTAGAGATTCAATCTTCATACAACCGGCCCTATAGTGTTGCAGACGTTCTCTAGAGTCCACGGTTTTTATTGTCAACGTAATCCCGTAAAAAGGCAGCATTTATCATGTTTATTGGATATATATTTGTGCATGTGCATCGTCACGCAGTATTTGATGAATACTTATCACTGACCCTGTACTAGTAAGAACAAATTGTTATGGACATGAAATATTGAATTAGCATAAAACATGAGGTCCCTCGTGATAATTTCAATAATTGTTGGTGAATTTTTTCCGGCCATTTTTATGCTTTTATTAACATTACTGTGGCATTGTTTTAGACCTGTAAAATTGTAGCCAGTGACAGAAGTACATAACCAGAAGTGTCCATCTCCGCATTGGTATCGCCACCATCAGATGTCCCGATAATCTATTTTTAGACAACCAATCACAACGCGCGCACATATTACACGGCACCTGATTGGTCCTTGTTGATCTACTTCAAGAGCGGACAAGAAAGGAAAATTATGTAGTCGATGGAGGCGAACGAAGTGAAGTTTTCATTTACGAGAATTTTACACCTTTTGCTGAACAACCATTTTTGAATTCGATAGAAAACATTCTTTACTATATAAGCAATGTAGCGAAGGAAGTTCAAGAGCAATATAGTCTGCAAAAACAAGAGAAAAGTTCAGACAAAGATGAAGAAAAATGCAAAACAGCGTGCGAAAAAAGTAGTCTAAAGTAGCTTTCTTACAGTCAATAGAGTCGGACTTAAAGAAAACCAAAGGTTAAGTAATTTGATAGACAACATACTTTACTATATGAGCAATGTAGCGAAGGAAGTTCAAGAGCAATATNAGTTTGAAGACTCCATATTTTGATTCTTCAATAAAATAATTGTAGTACGACTAAGGCGACTTAAGATTGAGTGAAGAAAAAAAAAGCAAAAAGAACGCTCTTTACACAGCAAACAATTCGTTTATAACTCTGATCGATTCTTGGAAGCATGGTTTCTGTCAGGCGTTACTCGCTTGCTTATTATTTTGATACAGGAAGCCCAATTCTAAGTGCTTCATTTTCTGCTGATCGGAACTTTTTATTCACTGCTTTTCTGCTTATCTTGGAAATTCTTCATAAAGTGTACGTCCCGATTCACAGGAAATGTACAAAATAATCAAACAAGAAAAATGTGAAGTGTGAACTGCGCTGATAAAAAAAAACAGAGACAGAAACACTTGTAAGAAATGAAGACATTTCCATTTCTTTATTAATACGACATTTTCGAATACATAATTATGTCAAAAGTACACTGACTAATTCAAAAAAGCATATACTAATATGTTAATACTGACAAGAAAATGCTTGACAGTTGTTTTATCAACCGAGGACAATCCTTGACGGTCAATAATTTGTCACAACTGATCGATAATGATGAGAATACTCACAGAGAAAAAAGGCCTCATCGACAAATGCAAAATCCTCAAATTTGGTGTACATCAGTTCAATAGTTAACGGGTTATAGTTTTTCAAATTCGCTAAAATTTCCAAAGAAATAAATGGGATCTAGTGAGTGTGTCCGGGAATGGCCATAAAATACGGATAGAGTAGCGGCTTCGTGTATATTTCTTTTGAAATTCTAGAACATTTATTATTAAAGAGCTCGACAGACTAACAAGAAAAGTCATCAATGATTAGCCGTGGAAAACACAAGTATGAATCCATACCACTCCTGTACTTACAGCCAGAACAAGGCAGGAAAGGATTAGTCGAACTAGAAACGTTGTACAAGAACACTAATATGTGCGCGCGTTGTGATTGGTTGTCTAAAAATAGATTATCGGGACATCTGATGGTGGCGATACCAATGCGGAGATGGACACTTCTGGTTATGTACTTCTGCCAGTGATTTATGCATAATTAAATTAATTTTTACCGTGCATATCATGAACCGTCTCGCTATCTCAATATTATGCTAGCTAGCCCTACAACTTCACTCTACACAGCGTCTGAATTGATGCCCACTGTGAGCTATCTTGGCGATGAAGTATAAGCCAGCGCTCAAGAATGAAAGCGTGTATGACTACATTCTATTCTTTGTAACAAAAAAATGAGAGAAAATTGTTCGTTTGTGACTATATGATCTGCTTCTTAAACCCTCTCAGAATACAAAGTAATCTTTTCCAATCACAGATGTTGTAAAATAAGCGAAGGAAACTGACCTTGAGTAACACTAGTACCGTTGTTAGGCTCAGAAGCATTAGAGAAAGTTACTACAATATCTCCAGCAAGTACACTTTCCTGACCATCGATTCCAATATATGAGGTTGGTCCACTAATTGTAGCTTCCAATCTATACACCTGACCAGAGACTAGACGCACAAGTTTATCAAGAGTAACCGTGAATCCATAGTACAAACCATCTATCTGTTCACTCTTGAACAACGACCAGGACGTGACAAGATCTTGACATTCATTTCGATTGCGTTTGTAGATTTTCAATGTCACATCGTAGTTGAAGTCTTTTCTGCCAAATAATCGCACACCAACCAGATTGACATCTTTGTTGACAGTAAGGTTTATAGCATCTACTGATCCTCTGTAACTCCATGAATTGGGACTACAATTTCTAAATCTTGATATCACTAAATATGCAGGGCTGAATTGTCGTCTTCTCTTACTAAAGATGTTCGCCGCAGGATTTATGTCATTAAAGATTTGAAGCACCTCTGTTACTTCATCCATATTCAGAATTTTACTTGGAAGAACAATTTCAACAAACTCCTTTTGAAACATAAGTGGAAATCGAATCAGTCGGATGAGGTCTTCTCCAAGGATGGTTCTTTTCGACTCACCTTCACAAACCAATGCTCTTTCATCAATCTGCTTGGTGGCCCATTTATCTACAGCTTCGAAAAGATGCACTTCAGATGAACTAAGAGTGTCTCTTTTGAGCACTTGGCAAAGCAGTTCTTTAGAYRCATCCAGAAATGATTCAGAAGAAATGGCTCGATGAGTTTGCTTGTCAACAATTTCCCACAAGTGTTCTTGAAGGTCTTCATCTCCCATTTTCCGTACTTGTCGTAAAACAATGAACACATCTTCTGGACCAACTTCAGTCTCGAGATATTCTTTACATTTCTTTTCTAGGAATGGCATCATGTACTTCTTGGCGAGGTAGAGTAACTCCATTACGTTACTTCCGGTTAGATTAGCTTCTTCACAATGTGCATAACGAAGCATTTCTTGTAGTCCTTCCTTAGTGCAGTCTGGTAGGTCGATAGTYGGTTKATTCTCGGCTAGATGACCGTAAAACATGGCAGCAAAGACAGGACTGGTGGTAGCCAGTACGTACTTGTTGGATGGAACGGTGACTTTGTTTCTATCGCCGTCTGCAACCGAGAACTCGATATCACAGAACAGTGAATTGTCGAACGCGTACTTACTACGTTCTCTGAGAGTAGAAAATTGTGTTTGCCAGTTTGAAGACTCCATATTTTGATTCTTCAATAAAATAATTGTAGTACGACTAAGGCGACTTAAGATTGAGTGAAGAAAAAAAAAGCAAAAAGAACGCTCTTTACACAGCAAACAATTCGTTTATAACTCTGATCGATTCTTGGAAGCATGGTTTCTGTCAGGCGTTACTCGCTTGCTTATTTATTTTGATACAGGAAGCCCAATTCTAAGTGCTTCATTTTCTGCTGATCGGAACTTTTTATTCACTGCTTTTCTGCTTATCTTGGAAATTCTTCATAAAGTGTACGTCCCGATTCACAGGAAATGTACAAAATAATCAAACAAGAAAAATGTGAAGTGTGAACTGCGCTGATAAAAAAAAACAGAGACAGAAACACTTGTAAGAAATGAAGACATTTCCATTTCTTTATTAATACGACATTTTCGAATACATAATTATGTCAAAAGTACACTGACTAATTCAAAAAAGCATATACTAATATGTTAATACTGACAAGAAAATGCTTGACAGTTGTTTTATCAACCGAGGACAATCCTTGACGGTCAATAATTTGTCACAACTGATCGATAATGATGAGAATACTCACAGAGAAAAAAGGCCTCATCGACAAATGCAAAATCCTCAAATTTGGTGTACATCAGTTCAATAGTTAACGGGTTATAGTTTTTCAAATTCGCTAAAATTTCCAAAGAAATAAATGGGATCTAGTGAGTGTGTCCGGGAATGGCCATAAAATACGGATAGAGTAGCGGCTTCGTGTATATTTCTTTTGAAATTCTAGAACATTTATTATTAAAGAGCTCGACAGACTAACAAGAAAAGTCATCAATGATTAGCCGTGGAAAACACAAGTATGAATNAGATTCCCATAATAATAATAATAATAATAATGCTTGATTGCAGTTTTACAACTGAATTGCCGGAGGGGCCAGCTAATTACAATATAAATATTAATCAATCAGTAATCTTCGACAAGTTTCCTGCATATTTCGCAGACACAAATTTGGAAAATCGGTCAGTGCGACCTGGTATCACATGAAGAGCGCTCCCTGATCTTAATGAGTATGGCATATCTGATGATACCACCCTACTAGACAGCAAGGGATATAACACACTCCCATGCCTGATGTCTTTCACAAACTTTATACATGCACTATGACGGCGCGCCTCGAGAGACGTTAAACCCGCGCGCACAAGGGCGTCCTTGTACCTATGATCATAGCCAAAAATGATCCCTAGTGATCTTTTCTGTACTCTTTCCAGAGCATCGCACAAATACTACGGAAGGTTTGCAAAAACTACAGAGGCATACTCTAATATCGATCTTATCAAAGAGCAATAGACGGCCACAAGGTCTTTATCTGTGACTCCACATGCTTTAATTTTTCTAAGTGCGTAGAGACGACGGTTTGACTTCTTGATCACATAGTCGCAGTGGGACGACCAACTGAGGTCCGAAGAGATGTACACTCCGAAAAGTTTGAAACAAGAGACAGACTCGATGACGGAACCTCTAACCGCTATTGGACGGCACTGGGAACTATTGAACTGCAAAAAATCAACCCTCATCTCTTTGCATTTACTAGGATTTAGCTGCATGTTGTTACTATGTGCAAAGTTGTTAATATCATTAACGGTGTGACTCATTAAGGACGGAGCATTGCGAGGAATTATTTCTAGTATAGATAAATCATCTACATACTTAATCCTAGGACCGACGAATCGTACAAGGTCATCAACCATGAACAATATAGGACTCAATTTTGTCCCTTGGGGTATTCCACCATTTGGAGATTTATAAACTGACAACGAGCTATCAATTTGGACACATTGAGATCTCCCCAGTAGAAATGCGGCAACCCATCTGACTAGGGAAGGGTGTAACCCAAAACCCGAGAGCTTATTCAGCAGAATTCGGTGATCAATAATATGGAAATATAATGGAAATTAAATTTACATCACATTTCCATTATATTTACAACCTTCGGGGAGCGCGATTTTTTACAGTGTCATGCACTTGCAATCCAATATATAACGATCAAATGCTAAAAATACTTTTTACCGTGCATATCATGAACCGTAGCAGTTATCTCGCGCCGCAAGTTTCATCTCAATATTATGCTAGCTACAATGTAGCCCGACTTCACGCTACATTAGCCTATCTTGGCGACGATATATGAGCCAGCGGTCAAGACTGAGAGCTTAGTGTAAACAAAATTCTATTCTTTGTAACAAAAAATGAAAGAAAATTGTTCGTTTTTGACTATTTGATCTGCTTCTCAAAAAGTCCGATAATACAAAGTATCCCTTTCCAATCACAGATGTTGTAAAATAAGCGAAGGAAACTGACCTCCGTTAACATCAGTACCGTTGTTAGACTGAGAAGCAGGAGCGAAAGTTACTACAATATCTCCAGCCTCTACACTTTCCTGGCCATCGCTTCCACGATATGACTCTGGTCCACTAATTTTAGCTTCCAGTATATACACCTGACCTGAGACCAGACGCACAGCTTTATGAAGAGTAACCGTGAATCCATGGTACAAACCATCTATCTCTTCACTCATGAACGACGACGAGGACGTGACGGGAACGTGAAATTCACTTCGACTGTATTTGTAGATTTTCAATGCCACATAGTAGTTGGAGCCTTCTCTGCCAAATAATCGAACACCCACCAGATTGACATCTTTGTTGACAGTAAGGTTTATAGCATCTACTGATCCTCTGTAACTCCATGAATTGGGACTACAATTTCTAAATCTTGATATCACTAAATATGCAGGGCTGAATTGTCGTCTTCTCTTATTAATAAAGATGTTCGCCGCAGGATTTATGTCATTCAAGATTTGAAGCACCAGTGTTATTTCATCCATATTCAGAATTTTACTTGGAAGCACAGTTTCAACAAACTCCTTTTGAGACATAAGTGGAAATCGAATCAGTCGGATGAGATCTTCTCCAAGGATGGCTCTTTTTTCWTYRCCWTCACAAACCAATTCTCTTTTATCAATCTGCTTGGTAGCCCATTTATCTACAGCTTCGAAAAGATGCACTTCAGATGCGCTAAGAGTGTCTCTTTTGAGCACTTGGCAAAGCAGTACTTTAGATACATCCAGAAATGATTCACAAGAAATAGCTCGATGAGTTTGCTTGTCAACAATTTCCCACAAGTGTTCTTGAAGGTTTTTATCTCCCATTTTCTGTACTTGTGGTAAAACAATGAACACATCTTCTGGACCAACGTCAGTCTCGAGGTATTCTTTACATTTCTTTTCGAGGAATGGCATCATGTACTTCTTGGCGAGGTAGAGTACCTCCATTACGATACTTCCGGTTAGATTGGCTTCTTCACAATGTGCATAACGAAGGAGTTCTTGTAGTCCTTCCTTAGTGCAGTCTGGTATGTCGATAGTTGGTTTATTCTCGGCTAGATGACCGTAAAACATGGCAGCAAAGACAGGACTGGTGSTAGCCAGCACGTACTTGTTGGATGGAATGGTGACTTTGTTTCCATCGCCGTCTGCAACCGAGAACTCGACATCACAGAACAATGAATTGTCGAACGCGTACTTACTACGTTCTCTGAGAGTAGAAAATTGTGTTTGCCAGTTTGAAGACTCCATATTTTGATTCTTCAATACAATAATTTTAGGATGATAGTAAAGGCGACTAACGATTAAGCGAAGAAATAGCTAAAAGAAGGCTCTTTACAGCAAACAACTCAATTATAACTCCGATCGATTCTTGGAAGTGCGGTTTCTGTCAGGCGTTCCACGATTGCTCATTATTTTGATACAGGCAGCCCAATTCTAAACCTAATTTTATCTTGGTTTTATTTTGTGTGAACAACGGAAATTCTTGATAAAGTGTACGTCCCGATTCACACTACATGTACAAAATAATCAGACAAGAAAATATGTGAAGTGTGAAATGCGCTGATGAAAAAAGCAGACACAGAAACACTTATAAGAAATGAAAACATTTCCATTTCTTTATTTTCCTGCTTCGGCTGATTTTTAGTCGGACTAGCCAAAGGCCAGGTCGACTTGAGTTTTACCTTTTAGCCAATCTATCTATCTATCTATGTATTTTGTCGCGTTACCACCGGAAGTTAAGAATTTAATATTTAACTATTGGGATGGCTGTGTTATTGCACGACCGGAAGCTCAAATGTATAGATGTACGAATATCGTTAGTAAATGTGAAATGCTACTTGCGCTTTTATGTGATAATCAAGCTGCCAATGGCAACATAACTCGGAGATTGTAAGAGCTGCTTTTGCAAGATGGTCAGCTGTATTTTGAGCATTTTATTAACACATTAGAAAAAAAACAAAACACATTAGATAAGTTATTTACAAAAACATGTAAATAGGTGATCATAAAAAATCAGAACAATAAGATCAGAACAATATTGGGAAAAATGCAATTCAACCGCCCCATTCGACATTTAAATTGGATTAAAAAAATAGTATTAACTAACAAGATAAGTTATTAGTGAAAAATTTGAGTAGCTAATGCCTTCATGTATTGAAAGAACAAGTGAATTGGTATATCATAACTTTGTTTTGAGCTCCTTTGTTGAAGTATGAAATCCACATTGTTCTTTTGATTATTCTTTATGCTCTTGATTTGCAGTTTTGCAGAATTATTCCAGTGCTTTTCTTCCAATCACTGTTAAGCGGATTAAGGTTTATTGATAAAAATATAAGCTTATTAGTTCAGAGAGACATCGAAATTTATAAAAGGAAAAGCTTCAGCTTAGTTACATGTAAATTAACAACGGCGACATAAAGTTCGAAGTGTCTGTCTCAACTTACATGCCCGGCTGCCGTGTAAATAGTGGAAGTCAAAATGTCCGTTTGCGAAAAAAAAA